CTGCACCCATACCTGCACCACATCTGCACCCACACCTGTTGCACTTACACCCCCAAGCCCCATTCCAAGCAAACTCATCTGCTCTCATGCTGCGCTCACACATGGAGCTTACTATGGGTGGCCTGGTGTTAAGCATGTACTCACTGGAGCCAAACCACCTAGGATCAAGTCCTGCTTTCCAACCCGATGATTGGGTGGCCACTGTGGGCCCCAGCTGCCTCAGCTGTAAAATGTGGAGGATAAAGGGAGTGGTGTACACAGGCACCAGCACTCAGTGTGGTCCCTGGAGGTCGGTTYTTCCAATGCTCCTCCACTTGTGCTGAGCCACACACCTGTCTCCACCTCCACTCCGGCACCAAGACACCTGTACACCAAATGAGGGAGAGACCCCCCCTCTTTCAGATGAAAGAAAAACAGTGGGGCCCCTCCAGGGGTCTTTATGGGATGTTTATGGGATGGTCCAAGTCACTGCCTCCCCTGGCCCATGACCCCCTGCCCATCTGTACTCACACAGACACCAACCTCCAGCCTACCCCTAAGGCTGTGGACCCCAGCCAAGGCCAGGCTGCCAAAGTGAGCACTGGGCTCCAGTCTCATCCTCCATGGCAGAGGGAGCACAGGCCTGGGGCCTGGGGCTCTGAGCTGCAGGCCCTGGGCTGGACTCCCTGGAGTAGAGGCACCTGTCCCACGCACCCTGCACAGCTGGAGCTGACACCAGCATTCTTCTGAGTGGGACCTGCTGGGCCCAGTCCTGTCTGACCTCCAAATCTAGCCTAACACTTGCCTTCCAGAACACTCTTACTRTAATGCGTTACCATCTGCCTCTCAAGCCCTGGACCCCTCCGTGTGGGTCCAGAGCACATCCCTACCAGCCAACCCAGCAAATGCATTCTGGGCCTTCCYGTTGGGACCCCGTCCATTTCTGGGAACCAGGGACACCTAGAGGAATGAGACTCAGGTCTCCATCTTAGCAAGGCCTGTGTCATGGGGGAACAGACAGGGCACCGCATCACTGTCTCTGCGAGGCTGCACACAGAGAGCTAAGGAGCTGCAGAAAGTTCCAGAAAGCACCTGTGCAAGCCATTGGAAGGGAAGAGAGGAGCCCCTGCCGGCCCCTGGCTTCATGCTCAGTCACCTTCACGGGGGTGAAGGACAGGCAGGGGAAGAGGAATGCTTCCAGGTCAGTGCGTAGAGGAAGCCAGCGCTGGTCCGCCGTGAGCCAGGTGTTTTTGCAGGTGTGAACTCATTTGATTTCCTCTGAGCCTCGCGGGGACTCTGTGGAGTGATGAATTAGAAATGAGGAAACCGAGGCTCAAAGAGGCCACAGACCCTGCCCACGCCTGCCCAGCTGGTCAGAGCCCACRGGCTCCTGCAGGCTGCTTGGCCTCCAAAGCCCAGGCTCGTAGCTAGTGTGCAGCTGGGCCTTCTCCTTCTCTTTCTTCCCAAAGACTCGAGTCCCAGGATGTTTCTTAGTCTGCCCTCTTCAGAGAGAGTGACCTTGGCAAGTCACTTAGCCCATCTGGCCTCGCCTTTTCCACGTGTCAAGAGTGTCCAGCCTGGAAGAGCCCTCGAGCGCTCAGGGCTGTGATCCAGCCTCGGCCCTTGATTGCCTCCTCGTSGGGGGTGGGAATGGCAGGGAGAGCACGCCTCCGAAAAGCTGTTTACTTACCTCGGGGTTCTGCAAACATCCACTGAGCTCCTGCGGTACCCAAAGCACCAGAGCAGATCCTCGGAAACAGGGACCGCCCCCTCCTTAGCGCCCCCGGCTCAAGGGCTCTTCCACTAAGGAGCATTCCTGCCAGAGCCAAGTCACTGCCAGGGTCACTGCAGCACCGTGGCTTTTACGGCCRAACATCTGTTACAGTTTAGTTCTGGAATGTCCCCCAAGTCTCATGTGTTGACAGCTTGGTCCCCGAGGCAGCAAGGTCCAGAGGTGGGGCTCTGGGGAACTGATTGGCCCAGAAGGGCCCTGWCTTCACCAGTGGATTAATCCATCGTTAGTGGAATGGACTCCCAGGAGGCGGTGGAGACTGTAAGCACATGGGGCATCTTGAGAGGGAGGGAGTCACAGGAGACGTGCCCTTGGGGACTCTATTTTGTCCCGGCCCCTTCCTCTCTCCCTCCCTCTCTCTCTCTCTGCTTCCTGGCAGCTATGAGCTGAGCAGCCGCCCTCCACCACGCCCCTCGGCCATGATGTTCTCCTACCTGGGGCCCGGAGCAGCGGGCCTGGCTGACCAGGGACTGAMGTCTCTGAAGCCCTGAGCCAGAAGGCTCTCCTCCAGGTTGTAACTGTCAGGTGTTTTGACCAGAGGGACAAACAGCTGACTGATTCCGCCTCCCACTCTGAAGGATGTCTGTCTCTGAGCCCCTTCCCCTTCCCGAGCACAAGCCCTCAGATTCAGCTCAGGGCCTGGTGCAAGGTGGATGTTTGTAAATGAAAATCCGGTTGAATCACACTCYAGTCGGATATCCCCGGGAAGAGCCTGGGGGTGAAGAAATGAAGGCTCTGCGGCCTCATCTTTCCATTTTCTTTCTTTCTTTCTTTCTTTATTCTTGAGTAGTCACCATGTTATAGACTAGTAGGGGTCCATCTGGAGGTCACTGGTCATTTCAGGCCATCAGCACTGAGAATCAAGGGACATGTGCGTGCCTCCGGAGCTAGAGGCCTTGGTGACAGAGGCTCTGTGGCCCTGTTCGTCGTAGCTGACTCACAGGAGAGGAGAGGGACTTGCTCCAGAGCCTGTGGCTGGAAGGACCAGGAGGGGCCTGGGGAGGGCACCCCAGGGAACAGCAAGAGCAAAAGTCGGGGGCTGGGACAGTGTGTGGCCGTCTTAGCWAGATGACAGCCTGGCCCGGGAGAAGATCCGCGTGGAGGGACAGGCAGACTAACAGGGTGTCTGAGGCCCTGCGAGCTCTGACGGCGGCCCCCGTGTTCAGATTTCACGGTGTGAGTGGCTGCGGCCCTCAGGGTGGTTGTGCAGAGGAGTCGAATGGTGGACGCAGCTTGAGAAGGAGCTCTGAGAGAGTCCCAGGGAGGACCGAAGGGGAGGCCCGGAGCAAGAAGACCAAAGAGGAGGTGGCTGTCTGGGTCCTGCTGGGGACAAAGGGGGTCTGAATTTGAGGGGTGGCTTGGAAGAGAATTGGGCGGAATGGAAGAGGGGACCGATGTGAGAGGGTGTTGAACATGGGAGTGTCCTRGGCACAGAGCGGGCAGAACAGACCTGGTGTCAACCACCGTCCAGGGCGCTGGCCTCCACCTGGTGGGTGGGGTGGGCTTGGAAGGGGAAAGTGAGCCGGCACACCCTCACGGGCACCCCACTGGTGACGTTGCTCAGAGCCGAGGCTGAGGTCTGGAGCTTCCTGGCCCCGAGCCTCTGGCTCTGTCTGCACACGGGTGTYGCTGGATCCTGAGATCCCACGGCCTGGAGTGACCAGTGACCTCTASATGGGCACCACTCTCCTGTAATATGATTAATTCCTTAAAAAAAAAAATGAGACGCTTGCATTTTCATTTCTTTCCCCAGCGCCCAATACATTCTTTCCTGCAATATTTAATTATCATTTAATTTGATTTGTTTTTTTCATTTGACTCAATTCCATTCAGTTCCATTCAAAAGAAAAGCTTTTAAAAACAAAGAGTCAATGAGAAAAGCGATTTAGTCAGGAAGACAATTGGCATTAGGGATTTGGGGTTGGATTTAAACAATAAATTTAGCTTTGAAAATGAACTGTGGGTAGCAAGAGGCGTGCTTGCAGGTCAGGACGTGGTACGTGGGGCAGGACACCGTGCGAGTCCTCAGATCCATGGAGTGGGAAGCATTCTAGCTTTCTGCTTTGGGGGTACCATTAGGGGAGTGTCCATTAGGATGGCTGGTAACAGACAGCGCAGCTCAAATCAACTTGCACAGTAACCGCACAGTCACCTCTCTGCCAAGACTGGGTTTGGGCCTTTCTGGGGCTTGTTTCACAGCTCCACAAAGTCAAGATGCTGGGTCGATCTTGCCACGGCCCTCTTGGCTTTCCCCTCGTGGTCTCARTAGAGTGGCCGCAACTCCGGCCATCACTTCTTCAACCTGATGATGCCCCAAGCAGGAAAGAAACAGGTAGGAACTGAAGGAATGTGTCTTAACGTGAGTCGTACTTCTTATGCAGGAAAATCTTTCTGGAACCTTCTAGAAGATGGTCCTGTCTAGCTCTCTGGGTCCATGCCTAGTACTCTAGAAACTGTCAAATGGGAATGGGATTGCCTTGGTTGGCTCCTCCCAGTCATGAGTCATCTCTGGGGACTGGCACCCTGCCACCAAYCAAAAGCACACTTCTTTTAGCATGCCAGCACAGAGTGCATCTGTCAGCCCTTCCTACAAGAAGCTGTGTAAAAATAAAACACCCCGAAAATTCAGTGGCTTGAAATAATAAGCACTTGTGAGCTCCTAAGTCCCCGGGGCCAGCGACTTCCCGAGTGTGGCTCTGTGGTTTGCCTGGTCTCAGTTGCTGGCTCACCTGCCGGTTGGACAGTCTCGGCAGGCCTTGCAGGGATGACAGACGTGCCTCAGCTCTCCTCCGCACCTCTCTGTCCTCCCGTGTGCTACCGTGGCACACGGGCAAAGGACGTGGATACCAGCAGGCAAGGAATGGGGCTCGCCCTGCGGTCGACCAGCACTTGCCCCTTTGCGCTTTGCCCTCTCCAGCATCCCAACCCAATCCCTGCCTCATCAAGGGGAAAGGAGAGGGTTAGAAAAATTGGAGTGGAGAGGAGGGTCCCAGCCTAGGAGCCAAGAGACTGGGTCTCAATGTTTGCTCCCTTTCCTAGCAAGGTGCGTAGCCCCGGGAGGGTCCCCTCACCTCCGCAGCCCTCGGTTTCTTTATCTGTCACGTCGGAATGAAGGTCTGYGTGCTCGGTGCCTTCTAGGATCTGGGAGGTGGTTAAATAGGGTAATGAATGCAGAAGTGCTTCGTAAGTGGAAAGCACGATTCCAACAACCGTGATTCACGGCAGATATTTTGAGAGGGRTTGATTAGGGAAGTGGCCAGGAAGGAAACTCGGCTCAGGCAAAGGCTGCCCGGGCCGCACMGGGGAGGGCCGAGAGCAGCCTCCGGCCTCCCTGGGGAACACACTGATGGGCAGGAGCTCGGGCACTTGCTGCCGGCAAATGTGGGTCACCATGCATTACATGGGGCGATGTACTCAGCTGACACGGAGGCCCTGGTGGCCTCCGCTCCAGCGTCCAGCCTGTCCCTGTCCTCATGTTCTGCRTCCCCAAAGCCCACATGCCTGCTGGTGCTGAGCATGAATCGGAGAAGCAAGAGCAAACTGCGCACTCTGGGCCTCCCGACCAGCAACAGGTGCGACAGGTCAAAATCTTTCAGCCAAACCAAGCGACAGTTTCTGGATCGGTTGGGAGGTGGACAGACGGGCCTGGATGGGGGGCAGCTCAAGGCCCCTCCTTTGCTGAGGTCAACTGATATCCTCCCCTCCCCCCATCAAGCCTGGTGTTAGGAGGCCTGTGTGGCCTGGAACATTCCAGAATTGCACAGCCATCCCCCCGCCAAGGCACCTGGTWTGGGGCTTCTCAGTGAGCTGGCTGTTCCTGTTGCCCCTGACCCTGGTGAAACTTGTTTTGGAGCTCYCTGGGAGGCAGAGGGAACAGGGCTGCATCTCTGTCCCCACGAGCACAGTGCAACGAGGGACAACAATCACATTGTCTACCCCTCAGGAATGGGAACGAGCGCTGAATGGAGTCAGGCTGTGCGCCAGGGATTGTTTTGGAAAGTGGGACTCTGTTGGAAGGCTTCTGAAGTGGGCCGAGTGGATGACTCTGTCCAGATAGGGGACATTGTAACAGCCTTTGGCAACTGTCATCCAGTATGAGCTAGCTTTAAAAAAAAAAAAAAAAGGCGTATGTGTTGTGGGAGGGTTTGTTGGCAGCCTTTACTAAAATGTTCAGGGATAATTTTAGCTTCAGGTAGTGTTTGATCCAGGGGCTCCCATGAGTATCATTGGAACTTATTTTCTGTCTGTCCTCTCTGACTTCTGCCCTGTTGGAGTCCTTGTGAAGTGCCGTGCRGTGACCCCGAGAATTATATCCTCCCTATTTGAAGTTGAATGAAAAGGGAGAGTTTCTGACCAGTTGTTCTGGCACAGGTTCTGGGAGTCACTCTGATAGAACCAACTGGGTCCTGCATCCAGTTCTGAGTCAGCCCCTATTCGGAGAGGAAGTGCTGGCAAGCTGGCCAGGCTGGGGCCACAGGCTCTGCCCCGAGAGCTGGGACTGGATCCCTGCAGAATCACAAAATCCAGAAGCTTACTGGCTGTGAGAACAGGGGCCAGGGAGCAGGGCTGGGCCTGGGGATGAGCAGGGGCCTGCTGGCTCAGCCCCCTCCTCAGGTGGGCTGGGTGGGGGCCTCTGGAGAGCAGCAAGCCTAGAAGAGTCAGCAAGAATGTGGCTTGGAACTGGAACGGAAGTGAACTTAATTAGATCTGAGCAAGCCATTTGTCTCCAGGAAGTGACATTCAGTTTTCCCTGGAAGTCCCCAGATTAAGTGGTTTTACAAAATGCCAAGTTGGAGGGTGGTTTTTTTGTTTTGTTTTTTTTTTTTTTTCAGTGTGGGGAGAGAAAAACAGTAAGTCAACCCAATTATGGAAATTTTGGTTGAGTCCTACCTGAGGGCCAGGCCCTGTGCCAGGCGCCGTGGGGACCTACCAGGAACATCCAGGTGCTYTTTGCAGGGTGAGGAGAGTGAGGTGAGGCTGGGGGAGGCTGAGGGAGAGGCCGCACAGCTGGTGGGGGAGGGAGTCTTTTCTGAGCAGAGCAATAGAGGAAGGCTTCGTGGAGGAAGTGGCTGAATGAACCCCACCCTTGACCCTGCCCTTGGGAGGTGGCATGGTACCACCTGCCTCTACCTGTGCGGCGGTTGGTCTGGGTTAGCAACGTTGAGGCCGGAGCTGCTCTTGTGCCTACGTCCCAGAGGCAGGATTGCTGGAGATGTTTAAGGAAGTGAGTCCCACGTTTCTGTAAATCTCTAACCCAGAACCAGAGAGAAACAGGTAGGCGTGGGGGGCGGGAATCCGCTGCCTGAGCCCCTGGATTCTGTCCCTGTGTGCACCTGTGTCCGTGTCTGCACAGGCCTCTGTCCTACATCTGCCCGAGCTTATGAGCCCRGGTGTGTGTCCAGTCCACATCCACCTAACGGTAGCCATGTATCCGTAGGTGCACACGCGTCTGCTATAAGTGTGMATGCGTGGGCAGGCACGCCCAGGGGTGTGCACACGTCTGCCCACGGGTACCCCTGCCTGTCTCAGGACACTTGTGGCTGTGCCCAGGGACAYGCACAGGTCCCTGTGGGCCACACATTGTGTCCACGTCTATCTGTTGACCCGAGGCCACAGGCACACGCGTCTGAGTGGGTGTGTGCGCGCGTGTCCATGTGTGTGCTGTGCCCCTGTCCCCCAGGGCTCATCCGGCTGCAGGAGCTCATCATGGCTCCTTCAAGATACAACATCCGCCTCAAGATCCGCCAGCTCCCCATCGACTCGGACGACGCGCGMCCCCTGCTCAAGGAGATGAAACGCGGCCGGGAGTTCCGCATCATCTTCGACTGCAGCCACACCATGGCYGCCCAGATCCTCAAGCAGGTGCGTGAGCAGCGGCCGGGGGAGAGCCGCGTGGGGGTCTGCCTGCCACGGTCTCCCCTTTCCTGAGTACTGGCGCCCCTTCCGCCAGATCCCAGCTGGGCTTGACCTCTACCTCTGTCTGGCCTGTGACCCTGGGTGTCAGTTTTCCTCTCTGAGCCTCAGTTCCACCAGCAGCCAAGCGGACAGCGAGTGACCTTTGCACTCTGACGTGGTGTGGGGTGGCTGACCTGCCCCTGCSAGGCCTGGGGCGCTGGGTAAATGCTGCCTTCCACCTGGAGGGGGTCTGGGGCTGCTGGGAGGTCCCTGAAGCCACGCGGAGAGAGCCCTTGGGGAACTGCAGAGAGGCCTTGGGTTCTCAGGGTCGGTCCCCAGAAGGCCTGGCCGCCTCCCCCAGGGACTCATTCCCCGTGGCTCCAGAGATGGGTGCTGTTCCTCTCCTGCTGCTGGGAGGGTTATGGAGGTTCTGCTCCACTCTGCAGTGACAGGGCGGGGGGGGGGGGGGGGGGTGTCCTGGCCGCTGTTCCTGAGCACCGCTCCACGTGGCACACAGGGGACAAGAGGCCGGCTCTGCCAGACACCTAAGAAAACAACAGTGGAGTCACCTGCAACCCCCTCCTGGGTGTGGCTCCAAAACAGCCACCCAGACTTGCGCCTGTGCTTTGAGTCAAAGGCCATTAGGTCACCCCAGAGAGCACTCTGGCGGCGGGAGCAGGCATCTGTGGGCCTTCTGCACGGGAGCCAGTGAGGTGCGGGTGGCATCAAGGACACGGGGGAGGAGGCAGGGGGGGCTGAGCAGGGGCCTGGAGTATTTTCAGAGCCTCAAGGGGCTCCAGTCCYACCTGCTTCCGCCCTTCCATGAGACCTGCCTGGAGTCTGTCCCTCCTTTGTGGTGGGGTTGACAGGCCCCACTTCATGCAGCGCCGCAGGCTTCCCTGAGTGGAGGAAATCAAGAATTGGTCCCAGTCCCCGGCACGATCTGCACTGGGCTGGGCGTCCTTGACGTGGACCAGGCTCCCTCCACATGCATTCTCCCAGCCACCTGTGCCCGGGGCCCCCCATCTCTTCCCAGCACATGTAACAGAATGAAAGTGACAATACTCTGCCAGGTGCCCGTCGCTCCTCACGGACTATGGGAAAGGTGGGGTATATAGCCTGCCTGGTGGACAGGTGGGCAGACACTGAGGCTCAAGGGAACGTAATGGACCCAAGGTCAYCCGGCTGGGAAGCTGGAATCGACTCCCAGCTCTGTCTGACTTGAAAACTTCTAGAATTAAAAATGAGGGCTGTGCTCAGCTAAATGCAGGATTAGAGGAAGTTCAGGCYGCCTGCCTGCTGCCAGCTCCTCCAGCCCAAACCGTACCTGGCTGGCTGACGGGCCTGGGAGGCTCCAGGGGTGGGCGGGATCGTGCAGCGGTTTCAAGGTCTACTTGATCCTGTGACATTTTCCCCAGAGCACTCTGTGGGTCCGGCATTCTGAGGAACTCTATGGAAAAAGCATTAGCGTCATTAGTATTACGGATTATCGGCTTCTACTAAAATAYACAGGACGCAGGGAATGCAGGCTTCATGGAGGGTGGAATAATAACCCGCAGCAGCTGTGTGGCCTGCTCTGTGGGCACCCAGGACCCAAGCAGGGACGTCACGCAGCACACAGCTTCTGGGCCAGGCCCCTGCTCAGGACAGCCCCCCAACACCACTCAACCCTAGCTGGTCCCACAAAATGGGGACCCTTGGAGAGTGTGACCCAACGCCCTGCATCTGAATCCGTCCCAGTTGATGCCACCGTCATCTGTTGGCTGGTCATTGTCACTATTCAAGAAGGTGTTAGAGGACACCAGCTTCACCCAGCCCATGGCCCAGCCTGGCCTGTCCCCAGCTCTCGCCCCTGGGTCAAGGGAGGGCACTGGGGTGCTGCTGGCGGCTGACCCTCTGCTCTTCTGCAGGCCATGGCCATGGGCATGATGACCGAGTACTACCACTTCATCTTCACCACGCTGGTAACGTACCCCCGGGGCCTGGCACGAGGAGGGTGGGAGGACTCAGATAGGGGCACGGTAGCCTGGCTTGGGCCAGCCTGCTGGACACAGTGGCTGCCRTTAGAGAAGATCCAAGTCGATAGGTGTGGCTCCGGGTAAGGGCCCATAGATGTCTTTGTGACCTGCCCACTTTCGGGAAGCCTCCTGGGGTTGGGATGAAGGGCCTGGGCTCTGGAGCCAGGATGGGCTCAAGCTCCACTGGCCACGGGGCCTTGGGTAAGTCATCTGACCTCTGTGGCTCAGTTTCTTCCTCTGCAAAATGGGCTTCTGCCCCTTGGGGAAGTCGTGAGGACTAATGAGTCCATCGGGCAAGACRCTGGGAGCAGCACCTAGTTCCTGCAGAGCGGGGGAGGCAGCCAGTGTTCCTTCGTGACCCGCCACTCRCAGTGCCCACTCTCCCACGCCTGTCTCAGGCCTTGTACAGCAACGAGAATGACCACTTCTGATTCCTGCTGCGTCCACACTGAAGTCAGCCCCCTYGCTGTCCACCTGCAGGCTCCAGATGGGTCCTGTCCAAACTCTGAGAACATTTAGGGCCATTTAAACCCATTAGGATAATTAGTTGTGGCCTGAGATCAGCAGAATAAAAGCATTCCTTTGCCAAGGGGCACCAATGCTAAGCCACCTAGCTTAGAACTAGGCACCCCAGACCTCCCCCAGGGCCCTGGTAGACTACTCCACCAACCCACATCTGGGCAGCAACAGCACCGCTGATCACCCTCTTGCTGAAACAAGCCACCCTTAGCCCTGCAGGCCCCTCCCTGTATGGCTCATTCATTTATTGGGCACCYAGTGTATTTTATATTCCTTACCCAGACCTAGGCGAAGCTGAGTGTTTGCAGATGAAGGACAGAGGCCTTCCTCCCTGTGCCCTGCTCAATGCAGCAGGCTTGCTGGCTTGTGCCCACACAGGCCAGAAGGATGGCTGAGGAGCTCAGCACAAGGACAGGCTTGGTGCTGAGGGCCTGGGGGAAGGTGGGAGGTTTGAGGCAGGCTTTGCAGAAAAGCAGATGCTTGGACGCTGGGCTTTGAAGGGTCAGTGGGAGTTAAGCAAGGGAGAATAGGGAAGGGGCTCCACATGTAAAGAAGAGCATGAGCAAAAGCTGAGGAGCGGGTTAGCTCTTGAGCAGTGAGCTGGAGTTGGCTCGCTCTGGCTTCCGAGAGCCGACTGCTATCATCGCCCCCCAACTCCACATCCTGTTGGTAGCTTGAAATTGGCCATGGGGGCAGTGCAGATGCCATAGAAGCAGGCATGTGCTACCAGTGAGGTTCCCTCCCCACACCAGAGAGCATCTACCAGCACACCTGCCTGTCACCCCCCTTCCCCAGCTGTACCCTGTGCCCACGCAGAGCCTGTCCAGGGCTCAGACCTGGAGCTTGCCAGGAGCCCCATTGRGTAAAAGGAATCCTGGGGACTGGGACCAGGAACCTTTTCCCTTGAGTCCCTTTTGGATCTCTGCCCACCCACAGTGGCTTCTTCCTGCCATGCTGTGTACTAGAAAGTCAGCAGAGACTTGGGAGGAGGCCACCAGATCCTTGATACCATTCCAGGACAAGGCTCTGCAGAAGGCACCTCCCCAGCGACCCCAGTGCCCTGCACAGAAATACCACTGTCCCCTGGGGCAAGGTAGGAGGTCTTAGAGGAAGGATCCTAGCACCTCAGGGTCTCCCTCTAGCTCCCAGTAGGGTCCCTTTAACTGTTCATTTCCTTAATTCAATCAATCCTTCGTTCATTTGTCTAGCAGCCATTTACAAGGGCACTCCCAGGTGCCGGGCTCTGAGCTGGGCGTTTGGGAGAGAGGGACGTAGAGAGATGGGTCCCACAGAGCTCAGGGGCRGGCAGGCTTTCTTCATGGGTGAATCCACCTGCAGTGGCTAAGCCATGCCTGGCACGTGGCAGGTGCTCATTAATGCCTACGTGATGGGTGAGTGAATGAGTGCATGCCCGCAATGCAGAGTGTGACCAGTGAAGTCACCAACACTGTCACAGCAGCCTCAGCTAAGACCGCRGTCTCTGGTGCCAGGCTCCCTGATGAGAACTGAGACTCTTCCGCTGCCTTGAGCAAGTTACTTGCCCTTTTCGTGACTCATTTCCGCTTCTGTAGAATCGTGACGACAGCGGTTTTACTTTCTAGGATTGTTAGCGGGAGTGTTTCATGCGTGGATATCCATAACGGGCTTACTCGATGCTTGGCACTTAGCGCGGTGGAAGTACTCAATAAACGAATTAAATGAGTCCTGCTCATGTTCTCTGTGTGCTCGACAGACCCCGTCCCCCGCAGAATTCAGAACGACTCTCCAAGGAAGCTATGGCTSTCCCCAAATTTTAGAAAACCTGGAAACTGAGGCTCAGAGAGGTGGYGCCCCCAAGAAAGGGCAGAGCATGAATTTGGGGCAGCTAAGAGCTGCCGCCCAGCTCCAGAGCCCTCTTCCAAACCTGTCATGCTCAGAGTTCACATGAAGTGTCCCGCGGCTCCTCTGGCCAGCTGGGCTTCCACATACTGCCTGGTCCAGCCATGGGGGTTGACCCTAGTCAGGGAAATGGAGCCTCCCCGCCAAATCCCAGTACCCCACCCTTCAAGGCCCTCTCTCTGCATCTGCAGATTTTCCTTGTCACCCCACTGAGGCCAGCCAGCAGGGTGTAACCTTCCCCGTAGACAGGGAGACCTGGCATCAGGGAGATTTTGTGACTTGCCTAGAATCTCAGAGCAGATCAGTGACGGGGACCCAGGCAACTGACACTGGGTCCTGCCGGGTCCTATAGAACACATAGTTCTGCAGTAGAGCGTATGTGCAGAGTCTACCACGGTGTTCCCAGCAGCCCCCCCAGGCTCAGCTGTGTCCCCTGGACCCTGTCCTGCTCCAGCTACAGGGACCTCCTTCCTGGCCTAGAACACCACCTCCCGATTCTCYCTCTTTGTGTCCCAGGGTCCTTCATGGCTGGACTGGGGAGGGCAGTGGCATTTGGCATTTATCTCCTTCCCCTTKGGAGAAACCCACGTCACCAACTCTTTGCCTCTAAAGAATTCTCCAAACTAAACTTGCCTCTCCCCACGCAGAAGACATTTTAATTACCCCTGCCGCATTATCTGTTCCAGCCAGCTCTGAGCCGTTCCCAGATAACCCTGCGTTAATCAGCCCCAGCTGAGGCCCGGTACATGTCATGTGTAGGTAAAAGCCTGGAGGTGAAAAAAGAATTATAATAAATTAATAGATAAGCAATCACAATTAATGCCACTTCCCGGCAATAACAGTTATATCATGGGAAAGATATTTTCATCTGTCATTCCTTAAGGCGATGTTTCCCGAGCTTCAGCTTCTACCCATTCAGACCCATGGGGTGCTAATGAATTAGTCTATTATGTTATGCTGAATGTTTCTAAAAGGTCCCTAGTCGATACTGAATTCAGTGTGTCAACATTTGGCATCAAGAATGCGACTTTTTGCCAAGCGGCGAAGTTGCCCACAGTTCACGGTGTACAGCACTTGGGGGTCTCAGCCCAGGGCAGTTTGAGCAAAAATAATCAGAGCTGGACAAAGAGGCCTCTTCACCATTGTCACTGCCCTCATGTCACAGGGATGGGGGCACTCTGTGCCACAAGCCCTACCACACTCTGCAGCCAGGCAGGGAGGGGAGTAACAAAGAGGGTGACCCCCCCCCAACCACACCACCCCATCATTCCCTCCCAGACTGTGACTGTCCCAACAGACCAATGCTGTGTCTGGAAAGTGAGGAACAGTTACACCAGCACCCAAGGCCCCCTCTACACCAGAGATGCCTCCCTTCACCCTGAGTCAGGTGGGTCTCTGGTGTTAGAAGAAGATAAGCCGGTCCTAGAGGTCCTGGGCAGGCTGCTGCTACAGCATCTGTCAAGACTTAGACGTCAGGTCAGTTCTGAATCAGAAGAGGCAAGGCCCCTGCTGAGAGTGGGAGGAGGGCCATCCCCGAAGGCAAAGGTCGGCCTCTGTCCCAGGGCCCCAGCAGTGCAGCTCTGACCCTCTCCCAGCTCCACAGACTCCTGTCCGAGGTGGTTTGAGGAAGCTCTCTTGGTCCTGGGTCCTGGTTAAAGGAGCGACTGGAGTTGACACCATCACTCTCCAGCTCTGTCCCCTCAAGCCAAAGACTCAGTCTCCGGGGACTCAGTTTCTTTCTTTGAGTGGGAAGTGGGGACATGAGTTAGAAAAGTTAATACATGTGGCATTCAGAACAGCACCTGCTGCTCTCCTGGGGACAGGTGCTCAGCCAACTGTGACAGTGTTTTGATGGCSAGGAGGGCTCAGGTAGGAAGGGCCCAACCCGAGTCTGCTCCTCTCCTCCAGTGATCCGGCGATGTCCCTAGGGGCCGCATCCCTGGTTGTGACAACCTGCCACCAGACAGGCAAATAGGCAACTTGTCAGACACCTGCCAGATGTCCCTGCGTACCAGACATGTTCTGAGCACGTCAGTTAACCCGTTTCTTTCACGTCAAGCCTGTATGGTAGGTACGGTGATCATCCCATTTTGCAGATGAGGCAACTGAGGAGGGCAGATGAAACTGGAACCCAGATAACCTGACCTCGTGGTCTGTGCTCTCAGCCAGCACCTCTGGCTGCCTCCGTGAGCCACCTCCTTCGGGATGGGATTCAGCCCATTTTCTGCTGTGACAACAGAATGCCATAGACTGAGGAAGTGATAAACAAGAGTTCACATGGCTCAGAATTCTGGAGCCTGGGAAGTCCAGGTCATGGTGCCGGCACCTGGCAAGGGCRTTCCTGCTTCATTGTAACGATGGCGGAAGGGCACATGAGCATACAAGGGAGAGAGAGAGGAAATCCCAAACTCATCCACCAGGATCATGCCCACAGTAACTGACCCACTATGCTCTAACCTGCTCGTGGGGACAGAGTCCTGGAGGTATCATCACCTCTGACACAAGTCACCTCACCCTTCGGACCCTCTTTTCTCACCTATAAAARGAGAATACCATTAAGTGGCTGTGATGTCCCCCACAGGCAGGGAGAGGACAGTGGCTACCCTCCACTCCCCGCTGAGACCAGAGCCATCTAGATACCCTCTGGCCATCTCAGTGGGAACCCCTCTTTTGCTGAAGACCCTGCCTCCTGCTTTCATCCAGCCTCTTCCTCAACCCAAATCCTGGCTTAGAATCGAGGCTCTCTAGCTGTTCTTTGGTGGCCSTGGGGGATTTGTTCCAGGACCTCTGCAGATGTTCAAGTCCCTTCTATAAAATGGTGTGGTAATTGCACATGACCTGTGCACACACTCCCATGTACTATAAATCATCTCTAGATCACTTACGAGACCTAATACAACATCCCTGCTGTGTAAATAGCTCACACACTGCATTGTTCCAGGACGGAACAATGCTCAGCCTACAGGCTCAGCGTAGACACAACCTTGCTCTGATGGTTTTGTTCTGTGGTGGTTGTATCCATATCTGGGAGCTGTGGATACCGAAGGCAAACGGTCCCCTTTGGGCACCGGTGGGGTTAGACTTTCTTACCTCCCCTTAAGTCTGCTCTGCAAACCTTCAAAGAAGAAATCAACACTGTGCCTTCCAGAAGGGGGCCGTTGAGGGTGCAGGAGGAGCAGGAGGAGTTGAGCATCCATTAGGAACATGGCAGAGACCGCAGGAAGCCAGGGCGGTGTGAAAGATCTGCTCTGTGGGCTCTAGCTCTGATCACTCATCATCTTTGCATGAGGCATCACTGATTCGTCTGAGGCTGGGATGGATGGGGTGGAGGCTGCAATGGTGGTACCATGGAGAATCAAGTACAGCCCAGGAGGGTGTCTGGCCATCTCTTCAAGCACAGGGTACAGTGATGGAGTCAGGGACCCAGGGAAGAGGACAGACCAGAGGCCAGGCGGGAAGGCAGCTCAGTGAGGGAAGAATATGGAAATGCAGAGGCTGTGGAGGAGCTCAAACAATGACACCAGACTTAGTTTCCCCACCAATGGGAGGGGCCAACCTAGATTGCCAAAGTACACATTTCAAAAAGCCAAAGAAATGAATCTCATGCCAATGTAGATGAACACATTTCCCAGGTGGGAGGGACCAGTAGGGTGGTGGAGCTGGCCTGCAGAGCATCTGAGGAACTGGGTGTTCATTGGTATTTCAGACAGGAGAGGGGAGACAGAGGTCAGATACAAAATTAATTAATCTCCTGCAAAGCAATAAACCTCACAGCCTCAGGGGGGTCACCTTTTCTGCTGGACACAGATCTGCATGTTCACCCTGAGTCTGGGCCTTTAATCAGTAGCCAACAGTGAAGTCAAAGCGTGTCCCCTGGGGGATTAAGTGACCCTGGACCTTCCTGGTAAACAACCCTTCTTTGTTGCATGGCGAGAACATTCTGCTCCCCTTTTGCCTATTTCTAAGTTGGGGGTCATTTTTAACAGACCACAGCGCTCTCTGCTCCTCTGACTTCCTTCCACCCTTTCTCTACTGCCATCTCTTGTCAGGTCAGGGGAAGTTGGCTTCTCCCACTGCCCCTTCCTCTCGGGCCCCCTGATGTGACAGTTCCTTGGCCCTAAACCTGGAGCTGCAGCAGGAGCCGGGGCCGGCTGCTCAGGCTCTAAGACCTTGCTCTTCTGGACGCTCAGCTGGGGCCTGCCCTGGCCATTTGCAGGACAGCTGCTCCTAGGAGCCATGGGAGGTGGCCCTGGCTGTGACTGGGGAGGAAGGAGTGGGGAAGGCAGCAGTACTCCTTGAGTCCCCTCTTTTAAAGGAGAAAATATTCCCTTGAGCGTCCTTCTGGGGGCTGGAGATGTACAGACCTAGCACCCTTTGTCTTTCCAAAGTGAGTGTCCTCCCCACCCTGCCGCCGTGGAAAGGAAACAGCGTTATGAAGCTGTTTGATGGGAGACTCATGGGAACTGCTTCACTAGGTCCTATAAAGAGGAGTGGTCCCCATTTTGTAGAAGAAGAAACAGGCTGAGGCCCCCTAGTTACGCAAGGTCAGTGCGAGTTGACTCTGAGTGCAGTCCTCCTATGGGTGCTCCCGCCACCTTTGCAGGGTTCTGCAGGGAGCCGCAGCCCCAGGCCCAGGCAACCCTGATTCAGGAGGGGCAGGAGGCGGGGCTGGAGCTAAGGCCGTGGCCGCACCTTGACTCACGCAGACCTCTCTCCCCAGGATCTCTACGCACTAGACCTGGAGCCCTACCGCTACTCGGGGGTGAACCTGACGGGGTTCCGCATCCTCAACGTGGACAACCCCCACGTCTCAGCCATCGTGGAGAAGTGGTCCATGGAGCGGCTGCAGGCGGCTCCCCGAGCAGAGTCTGGCCTGTTGGATGGAGTGATGATGGTACAGAGGGCAGCCAGGCAGGCGGACCCSGGGGGTTCCCCCTGTCTTCCCCCTTCTTTCCCTCCCTCCCTCCCTCTCTCCTGCCTTCCTATTTCCTGTCTCCCTCCCACCACTTCCTAAGTCCTGCCATGTGTGAGCCAGACCCCAGGTCAGGAGCCAGGGGCACTAAGAAGAATCAGACAGCCCTGCCCCAGGGCCCCCAGGGATAAGGACCAGGGATCCTGGGCACAGGGACTTTAGGCTGTGGCCAGCAGGTGTGAGACTGGGGAGGAGGGAGAGGAGTGGTCAGGAATCGTGAAGGGTGGGGTGGGAGGACTGTCAGGAGAGGGTGGCACCCGGGGCATTTGCAGACCAGCAGTCGCCCACGCCTGGCCTCTCTCCAGGGTGGGACAGGATGGCCTCTGGGCCTTTTTCTCACCAGGACGCCTTGAGCTTGCAGTGGGAGACAGGACTCAGGCAGGGTGGGCAAAGGACTGAGGGGCTCAGGGTTGCTCTCAGACAGACCCTGGACCTCCCTCCAGACCGACGCGGCCTTACTGTACGACGCTGTCCACATCGTGTCCGTGTGCTACCAGCGGGCCCCCCAGATGACGGTGAACTCCCTGCAGTGCCATCGGCATAAGGCCTGGCGCTTTGGTGGCCGCTTCATGAACTTCATCAAGGAGGTGAGTTCCCACGCCCCCTCCCTCCAGCACAGCAGGGTGGTGGTGGGCCCAGGTTCAGAGCCAGGACAGCTTTCAATTCCACATGAACTCGGGCAGGTGGCCTGGCATCGCTGAGCCTCAGTTTCCTTGGTTGAAAATGAGCTCCATAGGACCAGTCTTTTTTTATGAATTAATTTATTCATTTTAATTAGGTATATATGAAGCAGAATGCATCTTGATTCATTGTACACAATTGCAAAAGCAGCACAACTTTTCATTTCTCTGTACCCAATGTAGCWTCGAAACATATGGGCAGTCATACGTGTACCTAGGGTAATGATGTCTATCTCATTCCACCATCTTTCCTACCCTCATGCCCCCTCCCTTTGGCCCCATTAAAGTTCCTCCATTTTTTCCATTCCCCCCCCCATTATAGATCAGCATCTACTTATCAGAGAGAATATTTGGCCTTTGGTTTTGGGGGATTGGCTTACTTTGCTTAGCATGATATTCTCCAACCCCATCCACTTACCTGCAAATGCCATAATTTTATTCTCTTTTAATGGTGAGTAATATTCCATTGTGTATATATATACCATATTTTCTTTATCCATTCATCTATTAAAGGGCATCTAATTGCTTCCACAATTTAGCTATTGTGAATTGAGCTGCTATAAACATTGATGTGGGTGCATCACTATTGGACGMTGATTTTAAGTCCTTTGGGTATAGACTAAGGAGTGGGATAGCTGGGTCAAATGGTGCTTCCATTCCAGGTTTGGTTTTTTTTTAATTTTTTTTAATTGTAATTGGACAYAATCTTTATTTATTTATTTTTATGTGGTGTGGAGGATCGAACCCAGCACCTTGCATGTGCTAGGCGAGTGCTCTACCTCTGAGCCATAGTCCCAGCCCCCCATTACAGGTTTTCTAAGGAATCTCCATACTGCTTTCCAGATTGGTTGCACCCATATGAAGTTCCACCAGCAATATATGAGTGTGCCTTTTCCCCGACATCCTCACCAACATTTATTGTTGTATGTATTCTTGATAACTGCCATTCTGACTGGCATGACATGAAATCTTAGGATAGTTTTGATTTGCATTTCTCTAATTACTAGAGATATTGAACATTCTTTCATATATTTGTTGATCAAATGTATATCTTCTTCTGAGAAGTGTCTGCTCAGCTCCCATTTATTGGTTGGGTTGTTCGTTTTTTTGGGTATTCAGTTTTTTGAGTTCTTTATGTATCCTGGAGATTAAGATAGCCTCTTCAACAAATGGTGCTGGGAAAACTGGAAATCCATATGCAGCAAAATGAAAATAAACCCCTATCTCTCACCATGCACAAAACTCAACTCAAAGTGGATCAAGGATCTAGGAGTTAGACCAGAGACCCTGCACCTAACAGAGGAAAAAGTAGACCCTAATCTTCATCATGTGGGATTAGGCCCTGACTTCCTTAACAAGACTCCTAAAGCACAAGAAATAAAATCAAGAATTAATAAATGGGTGGACTCAAGCTGAACAGCTTCTTCTCGGCAAAAGAAACAATCAATGAGGTGAGGAGAGAGCCTACATTTGGGGAGCAAATTTTTGCCACACACACACGTCAGACAGAGCACTAATCTCCAGGATATATAAGGACAGTCTTATCGGTGATGGAGAGACCGAGTCCTCAGGCTGCRGTACATGCTGGCAAGTGGTCTGTACTGTTGACAGCCATAGCATGGGCTTCCACGTACAGCAGATGGGGGTCTTTGCTTGCTGGCTGTGTGGCCTGAAGCAAGCTAGAGAACCTTCCCAAGCCTCAGTCACCTCATCTGTAAAATGGGGGTATGAAGTCCAGTGAGGAGGCCAGGGAGGAGGAGATCTAGGTGGGGCATCCCAGAGGGTGTGACCATGTGGGGCAACACCAAGGTCAATGAGAAGGTCTTCAGGAGGGCTCCAGGTAGAGGGTCCCTCAGGAACAAGCACAGGGGACAACAAAGGAGGCGCGCTACCCTGAAGGTTGGCTTGTTGACTCGGTAGCTATTTGCTGTGGGCTTGTGGGGCCAGGCACCGAGCTGTGCAGGGTCCCACTGTGGCTAAAGCAGAGGAGCCCTGCACCCACAGAGCCCACAGCCCGAGGAGGGAGGCAGGCGTCCCCCCAGTTACTGCATTACAAATATGATCCCATTGCAAAGGAAGGCATCCGGGGACCCCCATCTCTCACACAGGGGCTGGACAGCTTCCCTGAGGCCCCAGGTCTCCGTGGCTGCTTTGGGGTGAGGCCAACAGCAGCTCCTCCCACCTGTCAGCAATATTAAAAGGAACATGGCCACAACATGGATTCTGAGCGCCGTCATGTGCCTTTGGACCTCGTCTCTCCCTCTTCCCGGCTGTGTCGCCTTAGACCAGCCCCTCACCTGGCAGGACCCCTTCTAGTCCTCCAGAGGGAGAAGCCAGGCCTCGGGCCTAGTCCCCTCACTCCTGGAAGGGACTCCAGGATCCTCAGATGCTCTGGCCTAAGAGGTTCACGACTATCCCTTCTCATCCTACCCATCAAAAGTGCAGAGGTAGTCCATTGTCCAAGGTCCCAAGAAGAGCTGAGCAGCTGGTGACATCATTGGCTCTTGGGGAACTCTGAGACTGAACTTCCAGATCCCTGCACGTCCATCCCTGGGGTCTCGGTAACGCCAGTCCACAGCCCTGCCCTATCCCTCCTCTGGCTCTGCAGGTAGATTTTCGAGCATCAGGAGCCACATGGAGGTGGCTTGGAATCTTCACCGCTTTCTAGCTGTGTGACCTTGGCCAAGCTACAGAACCTCTCTGCGCCTTAATGCCTCCCTCTACTGTGGAGGCCATAGCAGACATCTCATAGGGTTGTGGGAGGACTGAGGGAGTGGTGGGGTGCGTGGGGCATGGAGGCCAGTGCCCGGCACAGGGGTGCTGAGGAGCTTGGCCACTGTTCCTGCTGTTGCCATCACCACTCCAGCTAGAGGGGCTGTAGACCACCCTGCTTCAACTCCACCCCTCACCCCTCCCTCCTTGGAATGGACCCCTGAGGGAGCAGATGCAACCCCGCCCACCCTCCCAGGGAGTTCTGTTCTCCCTCCTGGGACTGACTGTCCATGGTTGGGGTACCCTGAGGACAAATGACCCCCATCATCAGCCTCCATACATCTCATCTCGTTAGTGCCCATGGTCCCGCAGCTGGCCACCAGAACCCAGGCGCCGCTCCAGAGCAGTGCACGGTCTTCCTGGGTCCATTTCCGAGTTGCCCATCTCCCCATCTGACTGCGTGACAGTAAATCATTTTAAAGACTTGGCATTTCCGAGAGGAGCTGGGAAATACCAGGCCGGAGTTCAAAGCGTGCGAAGCATCTTTCATTTAGCGAGTCCTGCGCGGGGGGGGGGGGGGGGGGGCGGGCTGGGAAATGTCAAGGGGAGGAGCTGCGGTGGCGCCCTGCCCTGCCCCTGCCCACCCGCCCACAGACAGGCCGCACCTGCTGGCATTTAATTCCCCTGTGGCTGTGGGGAGAAAGCTGCCTCCCAGCCAGCCTCCAGGGCACCCGCTGTGATTTCCCCTGGGGCCAGGAGGTAGCCCAGGCTGTGGGGGCTACGAGGAGAGGGACTGGGGAGCCGGCCTGAGGGAAGCAGAGCCTCCCTGGGAAGTCACAAACTTTGGCGTTTGCCTTCTCTGGTGTGTCTTTTAATCTCTATCCCCAGTTCCTTGGTTCCCGGCTCCCTGAGTTGCATGTCAGCTCTCCCCACCCCCAGCCCTTCAGCTCTGCTACTGCAGCAAGAGGACATTCTGTGCCTGCCGGTATTGGGGACCTGCAGAACTCGGTTCCTCTCTGAGCCTCAGTATCCACATCTGCCAGGTGGGGGCATTTTAATAGGAGACCCAGCTGGCAGGATCACCGTGAGAACGCAGTGGGCTCCTGCAGGGGAAGATAATGGCTCTATGATGAGCTTCCTAATGGAGCTGGCCTTGGTCCAAGTGACAGCCCCTTTGTCCCCAGCCAAGTGCCAGCCCTAATCCTAGAGAGCTACAGGCAGACTCTGTGTCAAGCAGTTGATAGACTTTTTCAACACCTGTGAACGGTAACCTGTCCCTTCTGCAACTGAGGGATGAGATCACTAGAGTAAAGTTCATGTTCTAACCCCTTTTGGTTTTCATGCCTCCCTGACCCCCAAGGCGCCGCCCCCTTCCTGAGTTAGGATACCCATGTGTCCACATGGGTATTCATCAGGAAGATCTCACAGTGCCCGAGAACTGCCCCAGTGCTTGGAGAGCCCCAGGGTTTTTGCTGGGATCTGTAGGTAGCTGAGCCTCCTAGATCTGTGGGAACTTGTGGGTGCGTGCACAGGTTCTGGGCAAGCTCATCCGGGGAAAGGCTGGGGCCTTTCTCAGTCTGCAGGGAACCTGATCCCAGCCAGGATGCAGCCAATATTCAGCTCTCCCTTGGCCTCTCTTTTCCCTGGAGACCYCTCCCCTGCCGCCACCTGCCAGCCCAGCCAGGCTGTGTGGGGCCCCAGGTTGTCTCTGGCTCCCAAGCCTACCTTTGCTCCCCAGGACTCCAGGGATTTGTCTTTCCCCCAGACTTAGAAAGCCTGAGTGTTCAATGCAGAGCTGCTGCCATCCTAAGTCTGGGAAGGAACCCAGCTGGGGCTGCAGGGCAGGGCCCTGGGAAGGCCTTCTGACTTGGCCCARTCTCTGCTGTCTCTGCTGGGCTGTGTGAGCTGGTGTGGCTCCAGCCAGAATCAGGATCCTGGCCTGGCCCACTACACCCCCACCCCCACCCCTAAGGAGGTCTTACGTGCTCTGAACAGCCTGAACGTGCCTTGTAGAGTTAATGCTCCAGGCCCCCAGGAAAGGTATTGTCTGGTGCCAGTTCTCCATAAAGAGAGGCAGATAGAAAAGAAGTTCAGGCTTCCTGGGTCAAATCATCTCTGTCCCACCTCAAGCATCTCACCTCGGCAGCTGCATTTCAAAAGCAACCAGAACCTGTCTGTGAACAGGTGGGCACGACCTTGAGCTAATCAACTGTTTACAAAAACAGCCAGTGGCCAGTCTGGCCCACCAGCCGTACTGGCCCGTTACCGTGGTCTGGAAGGCAGAGCTTCACTCAGTTTGGCCTGCCGAACCTCCACCTGCCTCCCTCTGTTAATGATCCTAATGACAATTTAAAAAAAATTTTTTTTAAAGTTATTTAAAATACAATGTCTATGGCATTTAGAGTCTTTTGATGGATAACGATTAAAATAACTTAAAATCTTAAATTAAAATCTTAAGTTGTCTGTTTTCTTGGTTCCAACGTGTGAACGTGCTATTTCCTTAATAGTTGGTCTATTGAAAAATACCGTTTCAAATTTAAAAAATATAAGATAAAATAAAAGCCACTGTTTGTCCAGGGTTCATGTTCTGCCAGGCACTGTTCTCAGTAGTCTATGTGATTTATTTCGCCCTTACCGCACTTTGGTAGGAGGGGTACGTAGCAATCAGTTACATTTTATAGCTGAGGAGACATGGAACACCCAAGTTCCCACTGAGATTGTGCTTGAACCCAGCACCCTGACCCCAGAGCTCTGAACCCTAGTGTGCCTGGAGGTAGGGCTGAGGGTGGAGGAGGCGCCTCCTYGGTCTCCCCTGCCTCTGGGGGGCTGCTTCAGGTTCCTAGTTCTGTAGCCAGGTCCCTCTGGTGTTCCTGCCTCTCGGCGGCTCTTGCCTGCCCCAGCACCTCCGCTGCCTCCCTACCCTCTCCGGGGGTTTGACACAGGCTCCCCCTTCCCATGGCTTTGAGGCGGGGGCTCATTTGAGCACATCCGAGATCGATGTTGTACACGAGGAGGTGCRAATTCGGAGCTGGGTAAAGAGCATAATAGAATTTATGGAAATCGCTGGCTCGCACGGCGGCCCCAGCAATGATGGAGGTGATTATTAATTAATCATGGTCTTGGGGGAACAGTATCAGTGCAAGGAGTAATTAAAATGAAGCATTGTACAGTTGTACCGAATGATGATTTATGAGCCCGAGGAATTGCCGCTCTCTGCCCTCTCCCCTCCGCAGGCTCAATGGGAAGGATTAACTGGACGGATTGTTTTCAACAAAACCAGTGGCTTGCGGACAGATTTTGATCTGGACATCATCAGCCTGAAGGAAGATGGCCTGGAGAAGGTGTGTGGACTCAGAGGTGGAGGTCAGGCAGAGGAGCAGGGTCTTCTTCAGTCCCCTCCCGCAGGCTCCTGGCAGAGGCTCAGAGGCAGAGGGCAGGACCTGGTGCAGCCCGTGCTTGAGGTTGGACACCACCCATTGTGACCACTGCAGATCTATGGGCCCAGCAGAGATCACGAGGGGTGAAGAGCCCAGTGGCTGGTGGTAGCAGATACCCAAGCCATCACTGAGCAAGGACCATCAAAGGTGCTTAACCTAAAAGACCCATGGGACCGACAGACTGCCTCTGAGTCCCTGCAGGGCTGATATGGGCAGAGGAATAGACATGTTCTTGAATAAAACAAGCATTCTAACCTCCAGGGCATGACCACCTGGGGAGTAGTGAGCTCACTGTCACTAGAGGCGTGTAAGCAAAGATTGATTGTCTGGCTGCCCATTGCACTTCTGGAAGGCTTGAGGTGATTTCTAGCCTTGAAGAGAGGTTGGAACAGATTGAGCTCACTCAGCTTTTAAGGCTTCAGATTTCAAAGAGTTCTRGACAAGGAAAGCAAGCCCGCCTGGGGCTGGGGTGGGGGTGGGGCTCCCCATCTCACTAACGTAGAAATGTTTTAATGAGGCCAATTCTGACCCCTGGGAACCCCCAGCCTGTTCTGTCAAAGTCAGGCCGCTGGGCCAAGAATAGGTTTAACGTGAGCCCCAGATTCTCAGCAACCCCTGGAACGTGGGGCCAGGGCTCAGCCATACCTGTCCTGCAGCAGACTGGTCCCTCGTAGCACCGGGGGCCCTTCCCCAACCCTGAGAGATGGCATATATAAAACCCAGGGAGTTGAGGCTGGAGAGTGGGTGGCCTCTGATGCTGCTTCAGAGGTTGATTCCTCTCTCTCCTCCCCGCCTGCCTGGCTCATCCTCTGGATTATTTTAATACCCTACCCGAACTGCCGCATCTCACCCTTGAGCCCTTCAGCCATCTCAAATGTACATACAAAAAGCTTCCCCAAGCCCAGCTTGCCCCTACCACCTCATGCCAAATCACTAAGCTTCAGCCTCAGAAYCAAAAGGCTCTTTGACCAATATCCCAGCTGGGCCTTCAGGCCTGGCCTCCACTGCTCCCTAAAAAAACCCCATAGTCCAGTTGCACCCACACCTTCCCACATCCCTGGGCATGTTCCCTCCTGTAGCCCCAGGTGCAGGCTGTGGCCTCTGCCCCTCATGCACAGACCCACTCCGCTCAGCTTGCAGCTCCTGTGGCCATGAGTCCTCTGTGAACTCCTGAGCTTTCTGACACATGGGGGCCACTGTGCTGGGGAGGGGTTGGACAGGAAGAGCTCACCCTTCCTTCACAACCGTTTCATGTCACACATTGTGCCAGCCCCTAAGGAAGGGGCTGTGGCCTGCACTCCTGAGATGACCAAGGCCAGTTGGTCAACCCCATGCAAACTCTGAGTTCCCAGTGAGTGGGTTCCATTTCAACCCTGGTGGAGAGCAGCCTTCCTGACAGCGCTCCGGGGGTACAGAATTCGCTCAGGTTGCTGTTGTAGTTTTGCTTTCTCAGCGACCCGTCTCTGAAAATAGAGATGATAGTAGATGGCACACATGCTACCATTTCCTTCTCCTGCGCCCATGGCAGACATCAATAGTTGATCACTGATACACTCTTTCTATCTGTGCCCACCTGGAGTCTCCCTATCCCAGCAATCTGGCACACCCTGGCCAATGCTCAATACCATTATCCCTGGACATAGATTGGCATGTGGGGCACCCACCAGGGCTCCTGGTCACAGCCACCTAAACTGAGAGCAGAGAGCCTCCTCGCTCTTTAACTGTCTTTCAGCTCCAAAGCACCTGCTGTCTAGCAAGCCCCAAAGCCAGAACTCAGTAGAGCTTTCTACAGGAGGGACCCTGCTGTTCATGCAACCTCTGGACAGATGTTTGTTAAGTACCTCCGACACCCCAGTGCTGACCTCCACTCTGAGCTTGGTCCATGTGAGAAAAGAGCCTCTTGGCTGTTGCCTACCTGTCCCCTCTCCATGTGGCCCTGGTGGTCCGAAGAGGCAGAGATCCTGCCCAGAGAGGATGCTGAGCCCCAAACACAGCCGCACGGCCTCTCATATCCTCACTTCTGTTTGCTAAGCCAGGTCATAGCTGATCCAGGCAGCTTCAGCCAGTGGCTTTGGGAGGATTAAAGCAGAATTACCCAGGCATAATTACATATCTCTCTGCTATCTGCTTTGCACAGCTCTCTGAATGGGGTGTTTGCATTCAGCCTCTCTGTTTAATTGATTAAGTTTCCTGAGTACCTCCCCCTCCCCAACTGGGCCAAGGACACAGTGGGCGTGCCAGAACCTTCCTTGACAGAGAGGGGCCAAAATGGGGCACAGCTGGGCAGAGCTGAGTCAGAAAGGATCTTCAAGAGGCCCAGAGCTTTAGGCCCATTTATAAACTTGACCTTCCTTTCCTCCCTCCAGCCTCAAACCCCGTATCCAAAGGGTGCTGGGGACAGGGTGCAGATATTTTGCCATCTTGGCCAAGGTGTCTGCTGACTTTAGAAGTTAACTCACAAAATAAACTGTCCTTAAACCCAGGGGCATCCCAGACCACCCCCTGYTGTGAAGTTCGCCCCTCCTTATGCTACCACCCCCAAAGGGCTTCCGAGGACAGCCCTCCTGCCAGCCTGCAGGCCTGTGCACAGGCCGCTCATTGCTCCCTCAGTCCACAATCGTGTGGGAAATGTGGCCCTTGTTCCAGGCCATCTTGGGCTTCGGAAGGTGTCTGGCCACTGAAGCTGGCACTGGGACTCAGACCCAGTGAGTGAGCAGCAGGATGCTCAGGGTCTTCCAAGAGGCATGCCGGGGCAGGACCTCCAAGTCGCTCAGCCCCTGCTTGGCATCTGCTCAGCCCAGCTGCTTTCCCCAGGTTCCTGGAGCTGCCTCTGATTTCCTGTGTCCCTCTGAAAGGGGAGGTGGTATGATCCAGGCACGTGGATGCCTTGGGGGTCTTTGTCCTGGAAGGACAGGGAGGGCAGCAGAGTTGTCATCGGTACAGTTGACTCCCAGCATGCAAGCAGTGACAGTGGGATGACGGTGCGCCTGGCGGCTAGGGAGCACATGGAAAGCACCCTCTCCTCTGTCTGTCTGTCCAGGTGGGGGTGTGGAGCCCCGCTGATGGGCTCAATATCACGGAGGTTGCCAAAGGCCGAGGCCCTAATGTCACCGACTCTCTGACAAACAGGTCACTCATCGTCACCACCGTGCTGGTAAGAGCCTGCAGCCCCTGTGGGAAGGGCTGTCTGCGCTGGGGGTGGGCTCACCATCTAGGCTGGAGAGACCCCTGTCGTGTTCATCTCTAAAAGGCCGGGTGGTGGCAGGGGGGCTTCAGGAAGGTGGAAACCCTAGGGAGCAGCTGGGACATGGGTGCTACTCACATGGCAGAGAGAGACCCATGCTTGTGCACCCCACCCCCACCCACTACCTGAGCCCCTGCTGTCTGAGTAGGAACCAAGATGGAGGTAGAAGGGTGAGCTGCCTACTGCACCAGGTCACAGGCTGCTTCTCCCACTCCATCCTTCAGCTGTGAGGGTTGCTGTGGCTCTACCTCCCCAGGCTGGGAGCCAGTTACATACATGCCACCTTCTGCAGTGTCCCCTCCTTGAGAGCTGGCAGCTAGGACCACTGGCATCCCATCCTCTCTCCATGCCTTTCTCTCTCCTCCCATCCTTCTCCTCCCTCAGATGGGAACTGGATAGAGTCCCCTCTGACCCATTTCAACCCAGGAAGTGGCTCTGGGGATCTCCCGGGCTCTCTGCACCTTGCACCTTGGATCAGAGCCAGAGGACAGACTCAGGCYGCGGTTCTTTCCACCGAGTAGCATCGAAGCCATTCCACAGGGCCAGCCCCTCCTGCCAGGGAGGCCTCAGGACTGTGCAGAGGCACAGGACAGACCCTCTCAGAGACACAGCACTGCTCATGGGGACCCTCGCCGGGCTAGCTTGGGGACCCGGCAGAATCTGACCCAAGATTTGAGGGTAATTCTGGCCCTAGTCAGCCTCTCCCTTATAACACAGCAAACAGACCTGTGAGGACCACATGCCCAGGCTGTTCCTCTACCCAGGGGGGAGCTCACSGAGCCTGTTCGGGGTTCAGTAAGGCTGCCGCGGGGAGAAGCCTGGATGCAGCATTGTCCAGACGGGTGGCTCCCCCGCTGCTTTCCCAGCAGCTGCCTCTGGTCAGGCCCTCCTGGATGGTCCTATGTCCTCCCCCAAACTGTGACTCATGGCACAGGCGCCCAGAGGCTGGGTGGTGGGACAGGTAGGGATGCAATGGGGAAGCACACCATTCCTCCAGGAATCCCAGGGAATAGCAGACCTCAGGGCACTGCCTTTGTGTAGCAAGAAGCTTGAGTCTGTGGGTCTTAGCCCCAGACCCCAGGGTTATTATCACTGAGAGATCCCCAATAAGGGGGACATAGGTCTAGTGGGGATTCTAGGCAGGTTGCTGAWGGAGCCAGAGGAAGAGGGCTGGGGAGAGAATAGCCCCCTCTTTGGGGCAAGACCCTCTCTGGAATCTTCCCAGTTAAAAAAAAAATATATATATATATATATGATCTCTCCATCCTGCCAGGCTTTATGATCCACTTCTTGTTAACTAGGTGAATATAAAAAATTCAAGCTGCTAAACCCAATAAGTCAAAAGATCTCAACAAGAACAGGAGAAAAAAAMCATAATGTGAAAATGTAAAAGATAAAAATAAACAAATAAAAAAAAAGCAAAGGAATTAGAGGGTTGCTGATGGGCAATTAGAGGAATATGGATGTGTTTAAAAATAGGACAGAGAAAAAGGAGAGTTAAAGGAGGAGCCAAATAGAAAGGTTAAGAGGGAAATAATGAAGAGAAAATGAAGGTAAGGAATGAGAGAGGAAGGAGCGATATTAAAAAAGACGAAAAATTAAATAATTTACGGCCCCGACTAGACAAGGTAAAAAATGTTAAACCAAAATGTCAAAAAGCAAAAGGATAAAAGTGTGACAAAGCTCAAATATAAAAGGGTAAAAATAAAATAATAAAAAGGTGGTAAAAGATTAAAAGCAGAGCTGCATAAAATGTGAGATATAAATAAAACACTTTTTGCAAGGCAAGATTAAAAAAAGATAAAACTAGTATGATTTAAGAGATTCGGAGGAGAGATGATTAAATGAGCTAAGGCAGTAGAACCCGMAAAACAGTACTCGGAAAGGAAGAGGTAAGTGAGGGCGAATATCCCGAAAAGATGCAAAAGACAGCCACCTTGAAAGACCACAGGGTTAAATTTTATTAAAATGGCAGCAGCCCAGTTCCAAGGGCATAAAACCCTTCTGCAGAGGCATCAGGGATTTCTTAGGTCCTTGTGCAGAAGCACGGGGTTTTTCCTACTGGAGCAGAATCCAGCAGACACCCCGTGCTCCTGACCTGCCAATATTCTCCGCTTCTTGGTGAACACCAGCAGCTTCTTGCCAATGTCCCCAACCTGTCATGCTCATTCCATTAAGGGGCATCCCACGCTAACTTCCGACTGGCCCTCAGGCCCAGGCAAGAGGGAGAGAAAGGCCATCTTGGGATGGATGGTTGCCTCTGTCCTTCAGCCTTGAAGCACCTGGGCAGACAGGAGCCCAGCAGTTCTTTAGGACCTGCTCTGTGACCAGGATGCAAGGGCAGGCCGTGTGATGACTGAGAGCACAGACCTTTGGGGATGAGACCTGGCTTCCCTGTTGACTTAGGTGTGACCCTGAGACATTGCTTAACCGCTCTGTGCCTGGCTCCCATCTGAAAGGTGAGATATAACAATTGCTCCCACTCCGTGGAGTCGAGAGGATGAATGGTTAATAAATATAAACCACGTGGGGCAAGCACTAAATGAGAGCTGTTATTGTTATTCATTGCTATTGATCATAGATCCAGAGCCCCAGGAGCTTGGGTTGAGCATATCACTTGGACGAAGAGTTGTAGTGAAAACCTCTGCTTCCGTCCACAGGCAGAGCCCTGGATGTCACCAAAGACTGACCGCAGTCCCAGTGGTGATTCCTGGCATGGGGCACATTGCATTATAAACTCTGAATTTGTGTCTGCATGTCTTACTGGTCCAGTGGGCCTCTCCAGACCCCATCACTCCCTCATGGCACAAGCATTCGTGAGGCTGCTTCTTGTCACTTTGTTTCCCCACTGGCCTCTGAGGGCCTTAGGGTTGGTGACCCCCCGTCAGGAACCCAAGCTGTATCTTCTGCTCAGATGTGATACTGCAGATCACATCAGCTGTCTCCTAGTCCCTTTCCCTGGTCACTGTCTGAGTGCCTGGCTCTGACATCATAACAGTTCACTCTCTCTGGCCCTATTGCCTTGACCTCTGACATGCCTCGAAGCAGCTGACCCACACCCATGGATGGCCACACTGACCATCTTCACTCCATCGTGCAATATCAGCCACATGGTCTAGGGATGAGCCAGGGCTCACCTCTCTCCGTCCTCTGGGGTCAGCTCTGCTTCTCCCTGTGGGGCAGTGAGAAAAGCCTCGTATTTCCTGGAGGCAGGAAATGGAGGGAGAATGTGGCCCACCCTTTGCACAGGTCTCCAAGAAATTCTGTGTCCAGCTGAAAGTATCCTAGGAGTCTCCTGGGAGAGAGATGCACACTCCTGTGAAGGATTGGCCTGGGGCCACCTGGAGACCTAGAGCTGCTTCAGATGCTCCAGGGAAGGTGCCTGAAAGGCTCAGAGCCACCGTCTGCATGTCCAGAGCCCTGGGGGACGCTCTCTGTCGTGGGCTTCTGGTGCAGCTGCACATGTTGTAGGGAGTGGCCCCGCCTGGCCCAGGCCCAGTGGCTCTGGCTGAAAACCCAGCCCCTGTTCGAGTCAGCTGAATGCAGGGCCAGCACCTCCCGCTGTGAGCGCAGCCCCCTGCCTGGCCAGGAGTTCGTTGTCAAGGCAACAGCCCTTTGAGTGACAGGCAGGTACTGAATCACAGGGCCAGAACATCAAACYGCTTTGCCTCTGGGGAACAAGGCCTGGAGCTGAGACCCCCGGGGGGGTTTCTCCCTCTCCTTCTTTTCCCTGCTTGTGGCAGACCCCAGCAGCTCTGGGTGGACCACCCCCAAACTGGCCTCCTCTTCTCCCCTGTGCTAAAACTTGGGCTTAGGTGCTAAGGGTGCCTCGCCCTGGACAGACCGATGGACAGAAGCTGACTGCATGCACTCTGACTCTCTGAGCTCTTGCAGCCTTGCCCATWCCTGCCTGCAGCACCCCACCCTGACTCCCGCCCACCCCAGCCTCTGTTCTAGTTCCGCTCTTCCATGAGGTCATGAAAAATTCATCCGCCCAAACCTCAGCTCACACACAGAGAAAGCACACCCGGCCCACTCCTGGGGGCCCTGCTTTTGAAGGTTCAGGGTTCTTTTTAGCTGCTGATGTGAGCGGAAATGTCAGGGTGTGGGTGTGGGACTGGCCACCCTTGGGGTCCGGATACTCACTGGCGGTATTTGTGCTGAGTGTACATCATGACCCACATAGACCCAACTGCCAGCCCGGCCAAACCCTCAGCACCCAGCCTCAGGAGAGGGGACCAAGCCAGGGCCAGCAGCCAGTTCCTCCTGCCTCTCTTGTTCTAACCAGCAGAAGCCGTAGGTCCAGGGGCTTTGACCAGCGGGTCCCAGCAGAGCTAGGCAGACAGACCACCTGGGCACATGGCGTTGCCGGGGGCTCTGGGTACCTACGGGTGCCAACATGTGGACGTGGGTTGACATCAGAAGGAAGGGTGAGGGCCAGACACAGTGGCACGTGCCTGTAATCCCAGCACTGGGGTGGGGGGGGGAAGGGAGGGGGGGCTGAGACAGGAGGATCAAGTTCAAAGCCAGCCTCAGCAACTTAGCAAGGCACTAAGCAACTCAGTGAGACCATGTCTCTAAATAATATACATAATAGGGCTGGGGAAGTGGCTTAGTGGTCAAGTGCCCCTGAGTTCCATCCCCAGTACCAATAAAGAAAGAAAGAAAGAAAGAAAGGAAGGAAGGAAGGAATGAAGGAAGGAAAGAAGGAAGGAAGGAAGAAGCAGGTTGTGGGAGCAGAGTGATTAGGTAGCTAACCCCTGAGCCCCTGCCCACTTAGGGCCAGTCCCTCAGCCCCCTCTTCCGACTCCAGGGTCCTATCACGGGGAGAAGCTTAGCGCTAGGCCCTGCTTTCACATTGGTCAAAGTGATTGTTGAGAAACCCAAGCAGCAGCCCCGGTGACAGAAAGTCGGAAAAGGTTATTTTTCTGGACCCCTGTTTTCTGTGACTTGTTGAAGAGAAATATTACCCCTGGTCCCACGGCTGTTCTCCCAGAGCAATAGGAGAGCGTGAAGTTATGAAATTGAGGGCACCTTCACTGAGCAATCGATTAGCAGCCGAGAGAGCTTGTGAATTGGCTGTCTGGACATTTCCAGTAATAAATTGTGAAATAGTCCATGAATAAGTAGTTGGCGGAGTTCAGAATTACCCCCTAGGAAATGTTGCAGGTCTGGAGACACATTACTAAGGCGAGCACCATTTTAATGCTCTGGGCTTTGGCTGTTAAATATGTATGCCATCCGCAAAGCACTTCCCGAAATTAATGGCATTTTACAGCTGCTCCGAAGGCAGCGTATTTATATGGAGATGTATAGATTCTGGGGCTTGGGTGGCTTCACAAATGAAGTGCTAATTTTAGAGGATAAGGCCAGGGAGGGGGGCAGAGGGGTCAGGAAGTGTGCTTTCTCAGGGATCTTTCCCAAGTGGTTTTCCCCTGCTGGCGAGGCGATTTTTACCCTGTGGTGGCATTGGGGGTGGTCTCTAGGTTGGAAAGGTCACTGCAGTAACAGGTCAGCCAGCACACGGGAAGAAGATGACCAYGACGACAGTGACCGTGTTGATGAAGACAATGTGGACAGCTAACACTTGCCAGGTGCTAAGTGCTTCTCGGAGGTCGATGTGWTATATCCTTACAATAACCCTGCAGGTTAGGGTGGGGTCTGTTATTACCCCCATCTTCCAGAAGGAAGTAAGAATCTAGGCAGGGTTGGTGGTTCCCCTAGGAAAGATGGTACCTTCTCTCTGAGTCTTTCCTTGAGCTAAATAAAATCCAGGCCACCATGGGTGGTAGTGTGGCTTGTTCACTGCACAAGAACATCAACCAAGGATGGGTTTGGACTGAAATTCTGCCCAGACACTGCTCACCAGGCCCTGGACCAGGGTTCAGGCAGCCTCTGCCCAAAGACTAATTGATAAGAAGGCATCGTATGGACCAGCCGAATCTCCCTTTCCTCCAGGTGGCCTCAGTACCTTCCCCAAGTCCAGCTGGACTCGTCCCCAACACTGCTGAGCCGCCTATTCGGTTGGCGGGAGGACAGGAGAGGCACTGAGGTCAGGCATCCAGGCTGGCCGAAAGGTCCAACTTTCCATCCATTAGACTGAGAAGTTGTTTTCCCAGCATCCCTGAAGAGTCAGGGCCCCCTGGGATTCAGATGTGCCCCGCRTCCCCCATGGCAAGGGACTCCTGAAAGCCAGAGTGGATCAGTCATATGGGGGACAGGATTTCGGGAGGTGGCAGTGCTGGAGAACCTGGACCAAAAACTTGAACCCCTCCAGAGCAGGAGCTCACTGGAGGCTGCTGGGGGTTCTGCTCCTGACCCACCTCGGCAGGAGTCTTCACTAGGACCTCCCAGTGCCCAGCCCACCCCAGGGGCCCATGGGGTCGAGAGCATGGCCTCAGCAGTGGAGAGGCCAGTAGGACACCTGCATAGTCAGGCATGTGCCTTAATGTAGGCGGGAGTGGACGCAGGCCTCCCCCACAGGACCATTCCTTCAGCTGAGGCCCGAGGTGTTCTGACGCAGAGGTTGCCCAGTGGGGCTCGGGGAAGGTCGGCCAGYGGGAAGGAGCAGGGAAGCTGCAGGCCCAAGCCAGTGGTCCAGAGGCAGGCACTGGAACATCAGTTCTAGACCTGAGTCTGGGATCTAGAAAAGCCAATGAAGTCAGGGAGTTCCGACCCCCCCTCGGCCCCCCGGAACATGAAGGGAAACAAAGCCAGGCAGAGGTGCTGCCCGGGGAGGGTTGGAGCTGCACTCCATCAAACTGTAAGTCAGCTCCTGTGTGACTTTGGGCAACTTTCTGACCTTCTCTGAACCTCAGTTTCCCCATCTATCAAATAGGAATAATGTCACCTATCTTGCAAGGTAGTGAGACTTAAAACATCCTGTGACAAGAGTTTAAATGGGTGCCTGGTGCATAGTAGGAATTCATTCCATGTTGAGTTTTTTTGGAAATTCAGCCAGACCCCAGCTTAGGGATATATACGTGAGCCTGGGTAGACAGAACCAGCAGCGACACAGGCTTGCATGTTGACCTGGCCTCCGGTCACCATGCTGGAGGCCTGGACCTTGACACATCAGAGCCCCCAGGTGAAGTTAAGCCAGCTCTATCCATTGGCATTCCTACCTCTCCTCCCAGYGGTTCTTTGCAGGGCCATCAGGGGTTGTCTGAATGAGAAGCCGGTCTTACTCCTCGGCCTTCCCTGGCTTCCCTTCACCTGCAGAGGTGGGGACAGGGGAATCTGACACAGGTCAAGTGTCCTTGGCTCTACAAACCACCTTATGAGGATCACCTGTCCCCAGGGAGCTACATCATGGGGATCAGGGCCTCTGGAATTTGCACTCAGGGGTCCCATCCCCCAAGTTCAGGTCCCCTCTCGATGCCCCCAGGGTCACTTGTCCTACCGTCTCCATCAGATAGGGTCCCTAGTATCCCCTACAGGGTCTGCTCTGCAGTTAAACAGACACCCCCTGGCTTCTGCCTGGTGGCTCTGGGCCCCCGTGCTCAGCASGCACGTTGAGCTCTGTCTCATTTGCTAATTTCCTGGAGCCCGCTCAGCCACATACAAATGAAGCTGTCTCCGTTATCGGCCATCACTCACCTGGCAGATCCTAGCGCGGAGACTGAGGAGATGCTTAGAAAGAGAGTGGTATCAGGAGTGTGTCGATCTAATCTTCCAGCCAGAGTCGGGAAGACACTTGATGAAGGGCTTTCTACAGACCTGTCCTCCCACTGGAGTGGACATCCGGGTTCTCAGGAGGGTTATACAAACCCGGATTGCTGGGCCACACCCAGGGTTTCTGGCACAGAAGGTCTGAGATGGAGCCTGAGAATGTGCATTTCCAACAAGTTCCCAGGTCCTGCCGCTGATGCTGCCCCAGGAGCTCACTCAGAACTCTGGCCCGGAGAGAACATGGGCTTTGGAATCAGGTGGTCTCAGGCTCAAAGTCCTGTCCCACCACCTTCTAGCTCTGTGATCACTGGGCTAGCGGGCCATAGGTACCCAGGAACTGCCCATAGCTTTCAGCTTGCAGGGCACCAAGTTGGCTCTTGGGAAATGCGCTGTCCCTGTGCCCACTTAGCCAGCCGCTCATCTGAGCCACCCCAAATGTTTTTATTTATCTATTTATTTCAGTTGTCGATGGACTGTTATTTTATTTATTCATTTATATGTGGTGCTGAGAATCCAACCCAGTGCCTCACACGTGCTAGGCAAGCGCTCTACCACTCAACCACAACCCCAGTCCACAAATGTTTTTATTTTTTAAAAAGTGGAGGTTTCCAGCCGCCTCCACCTCCCCTTCAGCCTTTGTCACCCCCTCCCCCATCTGTCCCTGCAGGAGGAGCCCTTCGTCATGTTCCGGAAGTCCGACAGGACCCTGTACGGGAATGACCGCTTCGAGGGCTACTGCATTGACCTGCTCAAGGAGCTGGCCCACATCCTGGGCTTCTCCTATGAGATCCGGTTGGTGGAGGACGGCAAGTACGGGGCRCAGGACGACAAGGGCCAGTGGAATGGCATGGTCAAGGAGCTCATCGACCACGTAAGCGGCACAGGGGTGCGGCCGGGGGTGGGGTGGAGGGCGAGGCCCCTGGGAGGCTTGTGCCTCAGGGCCAGGCATCCAGCAGCTGAGGACCTGGTGGCCAGGGCTATGGAGGTGAAGGTTGTGCCCTTGGAGACTGGGGAAGTGTGCCCAGCTCTCCCAGACCTGCCCCGCCTCCTGGGCACCTCCTCCTGCCAACCACCTCCTGCGAACACCTGTGTCAGCCCCTGAGGCTGAGCATGCCCCACCAGCACCTGTGATGAACTTTCTCAGGAGTCTCCCAGCTTCTCAGGGCCCTCGGCTCCTTTAAGAGGTATAAAAGGATGTCCCAGACGTGTGGGCCAAGGGCTGGAGGGCCAGGACAGAACACTCCACCAACCCCGAGGACACGGAGAGATCTGTCACTGCTTCTAGGAACTTTGGGTTCAAGGGGGAGACAGGGTGGTCTAGAGAGCCGGCCGAGGGTCGGGAGGGAGGGTGAGCGAGCTCTACTGGGAGATACCAGAAGCAGCTTCTCAGGCTGCTGGTAGGAGACGGGCSGGGAAGCAGGAGCCACAGCAGGCGGAGGGAAGAGAGGGCGGCTGGTCAGGGCCAGGGCTTGTCGGACATGGGAGGAAAGCAGAGGAGCCACCGGCTAGGGACACCACAGCAGGAAGGAATCAAGGGGGTAGGGATGCCACAGCAGGGGGATCAGGGGGCCTAGGGACACCACATAGGGGAGAGATCAGGGACCCTGGGCTCCTGATTCTTCTCTCATTAGCAGGGGGACAGGGGTGAGTCACCTGACCTCTGTGAGMTGCTTTCTCCTCTGTGAAATGGGCACATTAATCCCCCCTCTTCCCGGGAGCCGTGKGGTATTGCTGTGAGGCTCCAGCTCCACAGGCCTCGTGAGATGCTACCACCAACACATCCTGGCTCTTGGAAGCAGGGACCCCCAGTCCAGTTGAACCCGGGGTTCAGTGCGGCTTTCCCACCCAATAGACGTGTGACCCTCACATTTCGTCACCCCCTGGGCTTCCACATCTGCATTTCTCCTCTAGGAGGAAGTAGAATATTTGCAACCCCTAAGGCCCCATTGGTGCAGGCTCACCTGGCACAGAATAAATGCCCCCTGCCTTCCRGCTCAGAGTCCTCTACTTGATGGAAGAATCTGTCTAACTCCATAGAAATCATACCTGAAGCTAACGGATGCAGGGCCTGGGCTATAATAGACCCCTTGGATTCCTTCTCTCACTTACCCTGAATCCAGCCGCCTGTGGTCCATGCTGTCAGTAACACCCGTTTCACAGATGAGGAGACTGAGGCAGTAAAGAGAAGGCCCCAGGAGAGTAAGTGGTGGATCTGGATTCAAAGTGGTAGAGTCTTTGGGGCTCTGTGCCTTAGCAGCTCAGGGTTGCAGCTTCTCCAAAAAGCATATCCTACTCAGGAGCCAGGGCAGAGGCAGCTCATGCAGTAGGTCTTTGCAACCCACAAGTGCCAGCCAATGGGTAGGACTCATTACCTCACCTCTCCAGGGAGGAGGCAAGCCAATCAGACTTCCTGTTAAGTGTCTGAGGGGCTACCGTACCTTGGAGGCTGAGAACGGGGAGGGAGACTGTATCTTGGAGCATGAAGGCTCAAGCAGAGCCTGACTCAGCGGAGTCCTGTTCTAGGGCCTAGGGAACCGGGCTTCCAGGGAAGCCTGATGGGAGAGGCTCAATGGTAAAGAGGATGAACTCAGGCTGGGTTYGGTTCTGCCATTTAGGAGCTGTGTGTTCCTGGACAGTTGCTTAACTTCTCTGTGCCTCAGTTTCCTCATCTGTGAAAGGGGAATGATAATGATACCCGCTTCGTGAGGTTGGCACGAGGACTCAGTTAACATGTGTGTATTTCCTAGTCAGCGCGGCCTCAGCATCTACTATTGAAAATGGTATTTATTTATTTATTGTTGTTGGGGATTAAGCCCAGGGGGCACTCTACCACTGAGCTGCATCCCTACCCYGATTTATGCATTTAGTTATTTATTTTGAGACAGGGTCTTGCTGAGTTGCTGAGGCTGGCCTCGAACTTGTGATCCCCTTGCCTCAGCCTCCTGAGTTTCGGGGATTACAGATGTGCACCCCCACACCCATCTTCCAGTTATTCCTTGGAGGCTGGGGGAAGGGGCCTCAGGAAGTCCCTTTGCCTCCCTGAGCTCCCATTTCCTGACTCCGCAGTGAGAATGATGATACCTGCCCCGAGTTCTTCCCAGCCGTGGTGAGGCCTGGAGGAGACAGCGGGTGGGGGAGCAGCTTCTAGGTGGTAGGATCCTCTGTAAGTGGAGGGGAGTGGTGTTGTCACTGTTATTAGTAATAACTGTAATTATTATGGAAATCAGTCAGCAGGCCCCAGAGGCACCTCCGTCTATCCGCTCCCCTGCGCCTCCTGTGGGGCTCTGGAGTCTGGGGCCCTGGGTGGGTTCTGAGCCCATCCTTTGCTGAGGCAAGCCAGGCAGGGGCGGAAGGGGGTGTCATAGGCAGAGCGAAGGCCGTGTGCGGGTGTGAGCCGGGCTGAACTGCTCTTGCCAGTCCCAGCATCTCCCGTGGCCCAAGAGCTTGGAAGAGCCACTTTTAAAAGGGCTAGGCAGAGAAAGCCCAGCAGGGCCTTGTCTTCCCGAGTGACCCTCAGCTGGGAAAGGGAGGGAGCCTCATCCACGGCCTCCTCTGCACAGCTGGGAGGCACTTTAGGAGGCCYAGGATCCATCAAGGCCGTGAGCCCTGATGGGGCCTGCAGAGGACCTTGTTAAACCCGATTCCCGACAATTGATGAGCCTATGAATCCTAGCTTGGTGCCATTTTTAATAACATCATAACCATTTATTAGTGTCGTCAGATAATTAGTCTTCTCACTAGCTCCTAGAACGCATGCTAAAGACTTGGCAATATTATTACTTCATCATTAGGGATCTGGACGTAGGTGTAAAAATGATGAATGCCCACCTTTGCAAGTGTCTGCCTCCCAAGGCCCATTTGGAGGCCCCGGGTGGAGCCTCCGACCAGCGGGACTTAAAATGTCCTTCCCTGACACTCTGCTGGCCTCTGTCCCATGCCACACAGCCTTCCAAGGAGCCAGGGTTGTGGAGGAGGATGGGTACCTGGAGGATGCTCCCCTCACCTGCCAATGGACTTACCTTCCCTGGATRGCCTTGAACTTGAACCACGGGAGCCACAAACCCAATTAGGGTGGCGGTTACTGCATCCATCGCCCGTCTGTCTCTGCGATGCTCATGCTTGCTTGCTCTGTTTACCACCTCAGAAGCCTTCTACCCACCCCTGTACAGCCTTAATGACCCCCCTGTGTTTTGATGACACTGGAATCCAACGGAAATGGATTCGGATTCTGGCCTGGTGTGTTTCCGTCAACCGTGGGAAAGTTATCTAACTTCTCTGGCCTTTATTTCCACATCTGTGGAATGGGGATAATAAAGAGGCCTTTTGCCCCTTGTTCATGGGAAGATTTCATGAGATCTTGCCTCCAAATGTTTAACAGAGCCTGGTGCTGAGTAAGCCCTCAGACCTGGGAACCATCCTGTTGGGCACTATTCCATTCGGGGGCAGCCCCCCATCTAACATGTGACTCTGCTTCAGTATGGTGGCTGTGGGAGAAATGACCCATCAGCCATGACCCTCCTGCTAGGCCAGGTGTGGCTAGGACCTCAACCTTACCTCAGGGACCCCAAACAGGCAGCTCCGGGGAACTGACTCACATTGACTGAACTCACAGGRAGCTGAGCCACACTCCAAAGTACGGGGGCATTGGCCTTTCCAACACGGGGAGCCCCAGCTTGCCATCCAGAGTTTCTGTGTCCTGGCACCAGGTACCCAGGAGCTTCTTTGGGGCCTGGGGAGGCGGGGCCCCAAGAGTAGAGGTCCTGAGGCCAAGAGGAGAGCTGCTGGTAGAGAAGGGGCAAGAGACAGCTTTGAAGAGTCTCGTGCACTGAACCAGAACGTTTGATTGAATCCTGGAAGTGCAGAGCTGGGTCGGGGGTACAGGGTGACGTCAACTTGGCACTTGAAAATAACTCTGCTACCGAGGCAAATGGAAGACGTTCTGGAGGGGTGGCCGGGGCCTGGGTGGGGAGTGTGGTAGCCTAACTCAGAGCATTAGGTTGGGGAAGTGAMGGCACAGCAAGGGGACACAGAGTTGACCTTATTGAGATGGGTGATTGGTAGACAGACAGGGGGAAGGGAGGAGTCAGGACGAGGTGTGGRATTCCAGCAGGACAGATGGAAGGCSRGKKGTCATTGYCAGATAGCAAGTCCCCCAGAGAAGACAAGGATTCAGGAGAGGGCATGAGTTCAGCTGGGGACATGTTGGGACCTGGGACCCAGTTGGCAGCTGGCCATATGAGTGGACATCCAAGGAGACAGCAGGGCAGGAGGTTGGGATTTGGGGGAACAGGCAGCTCAGGCTGCAGGGGACCTGGGAGTCRGGGATGGGGACTCTGCTCAGGAAGAGAAGAGGTGAGACCTGGGGCAGGACCAGGAACAGCATGAAAGGGGGATTCCGGAGACACCTGGGCCGTGAAGGCCAAAGAGGAAAACAGTGACCTAGGACAGCACAGAGCTGCGGGGAGGTCCCCTAACAGCCTGAGCCTGACCCCTCAGGGTGCAGGGTGAGCCCCAGATGGGTCATTGCATGCCCCTGGCTGGCCCATGGCAAACCTGGTCTCRGGGACACAGGAGCCCTGTCCACGCTGCTCTCCTAGGTACTTGGGCACTGGATTCAGAGGCGGAGGAAGARGGAAGGAGCAGGAGGGGTCCTGGGCCTCCAGGGCACAGCAAGCCCTTGGCTCCTTTATCTCTATGCTCTTGCCCTCGCTGTCATACGTACTGAATGACCAGAGTTGCCCCTGGCTGTGCGATGGCCCGGCCCAAGATGGAGACAAGGAATAGCCACAAGTATAGCCTTGGCCTATGGTCCTCTCCCTKTGGAGAAGTAGCACTTCCCGAACGACCCTCTGCTTCCCATAACACTGAGTG